CACTCTATAGTTTTCTGTCAGTCTTCCTTCCGAAAAATTCAACAATATTATGTTCTTTTACTATTTAGGTCGTTACTACAATCATCATATGCTTTACTGCAGGAACAAATTTAATAGTTTGACTGGTTTAAGGAAGTGTACCTATTTAAATACAGCTAATAAATGTGTTTGTTAATTAGTTAGAAAATAAAGTCTAAAATCTTACTAAAAAAATATACTTATATTAATATTCCTATGTAATTTATTCTTTAATTCTTATACTACGACTGAAATATTGAAAGTTTTAAAACTAGATCCAAAATTATTATTTTATAATATATTATCATAATTGTTATCCGATGTTGATTTAATAACATACCATATTTCACTAAACACGTATTTAAACCATTTTACTGATATAGTAAACAATCTAGATTTGTATGATTATAATGCTGATAATGTATGTATACCGATGTACCCTGTTGCACGAGATTCCCAGACAGTTTTCTCGCAGACGTCTATAGTTTTCGACTGGCCGGATTAATGCGCAGCGTGTGACGGTAAGCGGCGAGAAATATATTACTTATATTATATATGTAATGTAGATACTTATACGAAGTCGCATAACACGCACATTTCACCGAACGATCGTAAATTATTTATGAACACGTTAAAACGAAAATTACAATAACAACGCGTACCTATACATCGGTTGTCGGTACATGCCGTCTTCGTCGTTGTCAAAGTCGTAGTAGATATCGTATTATTTTAAGTCCAAAGATCGGAGAAATGGGTGGGATATAAACAGCAACTCGAAAGAATTATTATTATGTTTTGTACCTGTATAATATATTTTATTTATACAATTATATAAGTTAAAGTTTTTCGACGGCTAATGAATTATGATGCGAAGCGTGAGTGTTGCATAGAGACGCGACTATTATGAATTTATAATCAAATCCATTTAAAATATTATCAGTATGGATTTCCTGTAAAACATCAATTGCCTTCAATCATTTAATTATACGATTGAAACAATTAATAATTTATTGTATTCAATGTTATCCGATTAAGATCGATTAAAAATAGCGGGCGGTAGCTAGTGAGTAGTAATTAGTTTAAATTTTTATAATATGCCATATACACATTATAATATGTCATAATATAATATTTAATTAATAATACATTTTAATAGGTTTATGAAGAATATAAAAATTAATAATTATAACATCTGGTAAGGTATTGTACGTGTGAATAATGATTAAAACAATGAACAGAACAATAAACTCTGAGTGATTTTAGATAACTAAGATAGCTGTGTACCTGAAGGAAGTATACAATAAAATTAATAGATACATTTTATAGCATGTAACTGACTATTATCAATTATTAGAAGTTAAAACCATTTTTTTCTCATATCATACGACCACATGCGCTTCTATGTAATATAATATAATATATTATATTATTATTATAAAAATATGTTCTACATATACATTTACATCAGTTATAACTTATAAATAAAAATCTAGTGGAATTGTTTTGTAATTTTGTTGATATAAATAAGATTAAATCCATTCAGGGACTTTGTAATATACTAGATCTTCTATGAAATCATACATTTCGATGTTAACCATGAAACATGATTGTAAATAGAAATCACCTAATCGATAATATGTCATCTGGGGAGGGGAAGTAGTTTATTGGGCTGTAAAACTAAGGTGACATACCGTCACTAACCGATTAAGTAATGAAGCTGTATAGTATATGTGTATAATATAGCCATGACTATGTATATTATGTTTATATACGTATATGAATGATATGAGGGGATGAATTGAAAAATGTATACTTATTATTGCAAGCTGACAAAATAAAGAATTATAATTTACTAAATATATGTACTAGGTATGTAAAAAAAATTTGTTGATAAAAATTAAGAAAAAAAATGTTTCCATGAAGGGAAAATAATATACGCCCTTGGCTTTAACAGAATTTAATGTGAAAAGAATTAGAAACACTGCGTCAAACTGAAACAAATTGCCATGTTACAATATACTATCAACCTGGTGACGCGTGTAGTTGACATAGCGTATTTAAATTGGAAGAAGGTGTAATCGTCCATACATGTCGACTTTGTCTTGTAATTTTTGGTGCAATATTTTGTATTGTACAATATAGTTTAGTACACTAGAAGTTATATTGCAGTGTTTTCCATGCTCGTAGAAACGATAAAACATCTTTTGTTTCGAACACTGAGTTTCTTTAACCCGTAACAATAATAACTTGAAATTGTGCGTGTCAGAATGACTGACTTATTCTTAATTTATTGTGTTGTTCAAATAGTTTATTTCTTCTTTACGGACATTTACGTAGGTATAAAATCGTGGATTACACATCCATCAAGTGTTTTATAAACATTTTATTTTTTCGTCGATGTAGAATAAAATATAATACATTATTATATCAGTAATAGTATACGAAAAATAACAGTGTGCTTGTTTATGTATTAAGTTTTTCTGATTTAGTTATTGGTATTGACGTTTTTTCAATTAGACTTATAAATGCGAAAGAGCTCCAACAACAGAAATATTACTATTTTAGATATAATATAATATTTTCTACAAATATTTTGTTATAAATATTGTATCAGTCAATTAGTCGATTGTATTTATTATTCCTTAGGCAGCCAAAATAACCGGTTACATTTATGATATACTGTAATAGTAAAATATAATATGATACACAGTAGACACATAAATTCTGGTTTGATATCAATTGCAGTTTATCCTGAGTGATACCTATAAAAAATAAGCGGGTACCCTTTATAATATAACATAGCACAATAGAATAATAGACATTAATGGTTATCATAATTAATAATATTATAAATATTTACTAATTGGTTGGTATTAGGGATATATTTTTTTTAATAAAATATTATTTTAACACGTTGCCCTACAGCAAAATACTTAGTGACATAAATATATTTCTCTAGGTAAAAATGGAAATTCAAAATGTATTATAAATTATTATAGAGACTAGAGTATATTTTAATAATGCTATAAAAAAAATTAAAAACAAATCAATATTTCATATTTTGACCTAAAAATATAATTATTATAGATTTATATGTCCACTAGTCTGACGCTGACAAATGTCTCCCAAAAAAATAAAATATAAATAATATTATAATATAATAACATAGAAAAATAAATCAGGCAAGTGAAAAAAAAAATTATCAATGATAAATGTATTGTTAAACGTTTGTATACAAATTGTGCAATGAATAAACATAATATGAAATGTAGTGAATAATATAAATGCACCCACCATTCAGACGAAAACTAGTAAAAATACAACGCTTATTATAGCACACATTCGTTTATATTATATACGTTTAGTTAGTATTGTAACATATATTTTATCCTATTTTAGTAAAATTCACATTTTACGGCCCACTCCCATATTCTTTTTAAAGATATATAATTATTATAGTTTATTGTGATAGATATAAATAATGGTTAATGTAAAATAATATTATGATACCTTCAAAATGACAAAACTACAAAAGTAAATAGAAACGTTTTGAAAAATTAACCACATACCATTTATTAACAAACCATTTTTACTTCTAATATTTAAAACTTACACTTGGCATATTATATTCGTAAATATATTATAATTCTAATAAAAATAAAAATAAATTTATTTAATAGTATAAGTTATTGCAATATATTCATTTACCAATATATTTTTCTTACATATATTTTTACATGCTTAATAACAAAATTAAAATCTCTCCTTAGTAGTATAGTTTATAAATTCATTATTTTCAGTACAAAAGTGCACATATTATAAATTATAATGGACTCTACCCACCTTCATTATATCATTGTCACCTGTTTTGTTATTATGATTTCATTATCTCTAAGACATATATAGGTACACTCGTATATGTAAATATAATATATAAATATATATGTATTGGCAATACTAGTTTAAGTATTGTAGGCGTCATTTTAGGCTTACGGAATGGAAGGGTTGACAATTTTTATTGACGCAGAGCTTTTTAAAATTAAATTAATTGTGGGTACGTTATTTATTTTTGTGCCTATATGTGAATAAATTGTAAGGTATTAAGTATTAACGAACATGATAAGGAAAATTATATAAGCCCATACGAAATTTTGCTATGTAATAATAATTAAAAATACTTTTTTTTAAATTTATATTATTGAATTTATCGACGATTGTACTTTGTCTATTAATTTTTAATAGTATGCAGTACGTGTAATTAATGTCTAACTCAGCATTTCTCAAACTGTGGATCGCGACCCCCTGGGGGGTCGCAAGTCAATTTTTGGGGGATCGCGAGAAGTAGTATTATATTATTATTATAAGTACCTATATTATTAGAATTATTATTATTATAATTTATAAGTATATTATTACAATTATAAAGTAGTAAATAAGTAATAAAAAAATTTGTTTTTTTAAATTAATTTTTTGATTCTGTAAAAGTAAAACTATGGGGTTCGCGATAGATTTTTGGAAAAAAATTTGGGTCGCGGTCCTAAAAAGATTGAGAACCACTGGTTTAACTCAAATACACATGCAAAATAATATACTGTATTCTAAACGTGATATGATGTCCAGTTGACGCGGTCAATCCAAATGTTGTAGTAGTAGGGCTACGAAGGAGTTCAATAGACTAAACTAAAAAACACATTATTCATAGTAAAATAAAACGTCCATACGTAAATTCTAAACATTGCAATGTCTCATCTTGACCGCACAGAAATAAAGACGAAAAAAGATAATAATAATAATAATAATAACAATAATTACATCGACGGTCGGTGGTGCGGGTTGTCAGGAGTGGGCGTAAAGAGTGATGCTGCACCGCCGTCGCAGTCTTTTGTTGCCCCGTTGCCCCGGACTACCGCCGCCGCCGCCGCCGCCGCCTCCGCGGCTTAACCGGTTCCCGTGAAGGCGCACCGGCAGTTCTTGGCCGGAACACTAAGCGTCCTGTCGTGTGCGGTGCGAGTGCGCACGTGTACATACCGATTCGTTTAAGTCGTTAAAGTACTACTTCTACATTATTAATAAAATTTTGTATTTAGTTTATTTTTGTAATTTATATGTAAATGTTTAGTATAAGTGTGTTTAAGTGGTGCGTGTAATTTAGTTTCAGTGTGTTATACATAATATACTATTTTGTCGTCAGTCTCATGTCCGAAGAATTGCTGAAAAGGAAAAAATAGTGGCGGTCGCCATGTTCTCCAGTAGAACTCGGTCCAGCGTTCGACTTAAGGATCCTAAATCGAGGTCAGAAGGGGTTATTTTAATTTTATTTTTTCTACTTGTAGTAGTATATAATATTTATTGTGTTTAGTTTTTTCCTCCGCTTGTTTTGCTTGTACGAGACTACGCATAACAAATGAGGATTAATAGGATATCGAAAAAAACCACTGTATTATTTATTGTATCGTGTGCAATGTACTACACCCAGTCTGGGTGGTCCTAGTGCGTACGTGTCCTCAGATACCTATAACACATATAATATACCTATGTATATATAAACATAAATATATATATATATATTAGGGGTAGCATATCGGCACCCTCCCGCGACCGACGTCTTACTGTTGCGATTGACCTTTCGTTATGATTTACTCTTTTTTTTTCCCGACCTGCAACTATTACATTGCACAGATTGTTATCGACCTTTTAATACCCTGCGCCCGAATGTGAGTTGTTTACGTAATACAAGATTTATGTTCGCTCCCTTACGGCCTATTATAACAAAACATACTGTATAAATATAATGTTGTATTACATGTATAATATCGATGTATGTTACGTATACATAATAGTATATATATAACATATAGTTATAAACGGTCACGAAAGAGTTTAAATTGTTTATGTCAGAACGTTAGAATTAAAAGAAATTTTTCATTTCTATATATGTAGTGGACATTCCTAATTCTTTTATTGGTATCCCGGATTAAAGAATTTTGTATTTATTTATCATTTTAAATCGAATTGTTTGCGTTTGACGTACGATTTCAATGTACATAGCGGCGATTTAATGGATAAATATTTTTTTTTCAAACCTCCTCTGAATTATTTTTGTGTTGAAGAAATTTGATACGACCATCTCTGATATATAAAGGACTGTTGTTGCGTGTATATACGAGGTATCGAAATATTACGTGGTAGACTTCAATAGCATATATGTTGACTTCGGGTGCCGACAAACACTGGGTTACTCGGTTATTGAATTGTTATTATGTGTGGAAATACCAAGGGGGGTTAGAAATATTGAACTATATTCCTACATGGAATTCTTTTTCTTTCTATTTGTCTTTTATGTTAAAAACGTGGTTCCCCGTTTGTATTGAACACGTTTTCCTCCTCCAGAGCGAAAGGGCGCACGCACTGTTACAACTTATATGATTTGAAAACCTGAGACCATTTTATTTAGTTTTCCCAAGAGATCACTATCATTTTTAAGTCCATATCTATCTTCTATATAATAAATATGCGAAAATAATATCGCGCTACCTTAATTCCCAAGTCATTCAATTACACACTCGTGTGTGTTATTTTTGTGTTATAAGTATATACTGATACATTTTTTACTGTCTGGCATTGTTGTAAACGAGCTGAAGGACAAGAAATGCGCGCAGGAGAGGAAAGATATAGCGGCGGAAGAAGAAGACTAAGAAGAAGAAGCAGAATAAAAAAAAAGAATCCACAGTCTTTCGTGGCCCGGTAATTGGCTTTAGTTTCGCCGACGCGTGGGAACATTCTCATTTGTGTACGCACAATGACGACGAAAATCACTTAACGAACAGAGTTCCATGAAGTTTAAGGTTACAGTTTGTAAATTAGACTACTCGCTAGTTCCGCAGAACCTGTGATTATGATACCTTCGTTGCGGGCGGATTTGGGGCAACCGTGCACCGAGGGTTTTCGCTTTCCGATGGACATCTAAATCCGGTCTACAGCATTAATATTCCGATTGTTTAAAATAAACTCGTTCATAATATTACTCAAGTCAATAATTAGATAGTTAGGCCCATATATACTATCATACAAGAGTACTCACTCTACATAATATAATATTTTTTTTTTTATGAATATTTTACTTAAGTACCTACTTACTACTTTCATTTTCTATTATTGCATCAATGGATTATTATTTGTGGATCGAAGCTATTAAAACTATTTTTTGTAAAAAGATAGGTTCGTGTATTTCTTTTTCTTTCTAAACATACGAGTAAAAATCTTTTAAAATCCACGAGCTTTGAAAGTACTTGGTACGTAATTATTTGTTTAATTTTAAAATAAAAAATGAATCAAAAATGTATTCGTCATATTATATTATATTCATAAAAAACTAGTATTTTATTCGTTACAATTGTTTTGTTTTTTTATAACTTATTATAAACATTTTAATTCATTATACACAGTAATAACAGTTATGTATAAAAAAATCAAAAAGCATTTTGATCAGTTATTATAATCTGCCACATAGAATGTATACAGCAGATTTTGTAGTTAGTATTGGTACCCTGTATGTGTATTTATATAATAACGAATGTGCAGCTATGGCTTGAACGTGCCTAAAACTGGTCCTTGTCGGCAGCCGGTTTTTAGTTATTATTTTTTCTTTTCGTTTGTTTGATGTATGCAGTATGCACTTAAAAGGCGTCGGTGTTGTAAACGATTGTTGTCGGCGAAATTACATTTGGATTCGACAAATAAAATAATTCCATTTATTTCGAACGAGTTTTTCGATAACGACCTTAGTCTTGGATGTTTACTTATAGGACAAAAAACACTACTTTTGATTATTAACTATATTAACCATATATATATATATCTTCTTAGACTTTGAGTAACGGTTAACAAATTACCATAATGACCGAGTCACCCAGTTCTTAACAATTATTACTCAGTAGAGGTGAATCAAAACAAGTACCTTTATAGTATATACGCGTATCGCATATTGATATAAAAAAAAAAAAATGTTAATAAATATTTGATAAATTTCTTGTAATAATTTTGTAAAAACAAAAGAAAATGATTTTTTTTTTGTAACAGTATTTATTTATTTTTTTGTATTGTTTATTTATTTATTTATAGAATGGATTTTTAAGGGTTGGTTTAAAGTACCTTTTAATTATACGTATAGGTAGATACCAGTATAACAAATGGTAATTTTGTTATATAATATTATAATCATGTACTCACTACTCGCTGATATACATTACTTATTGGTTTAGCATATAGTAATAGTATGATTATAATTTATAATATATATACATATTATAGACATATAGCGATATCAACATAAGCCATGGATCTTTGATCCTGATGTGGCATATGTAACAAAATGGTCACGTGCTAACGGTAAAGATCGTTCGTTTCCCTTATGCGTATTTCCATACAATCTAAATTGTCGTGTATTTATTTATATATTAGGAAGTAAAAAAGAGGTTTCACTTCACGTTTTAAATAAATTAGTTCTTAAAAGAAAACGAATTATGTAATTTTATTTTATTTTACAATGTGTACTTTTATCTTACTAAATCTTAAATTTTATTTCAATTGGAGTATATATTTTTTTTTTTTGTTATTTATTTACAGCGATATATTGGATTAATATATGTTTATAATTATTATTTCTTGTAATTTTTGTCAACTAGAGTTTTAAGTTTGTTTAAAATAAATTATAAATTTTTTTTATATTTTTATAAATAATATGGTATTATATGCAGTTACAAATATTAAATACCTAGTTAAAACCCTAAATGATGATTACTACGACAGGTAACCAAATACGTAGATTTGATTTCCGTGAGTTAAGTTTGAAGTGTTTCAAATAAATAAAACAATAAAACCTGGTAAATTTATAAATCATATACTTAATAAATAATAACATAACATAATATATTATGACTGTTTATACTTACCTCATAATTTATTAAGTATAGATTTTTAGATATTTTATTATTCTATGAGTGTAGTTACTATTGACATAATTTTTATACATTATGTAGTTATATAATATTTTAATGCTTAATTTTTGTTGAGATACGTATTTGATTATTTTCTATTAATTTTTAAGTATTATTTTTTTTAAATTAAACCATTTTATGAGTTATGACATATCGACGTGCATAATTAAAAAACAAACTTAGTTGGTAGGCATATTATAATATCAATTTTGATGTGAACTATTTCATTTTTTAACACTATGATACTGTTTGTGCATTGTGTAGGTATATTAGATACATAGTATATGTCTTATATGTGTTCATAAATGACGTTTGCCGATTCTCTGAAATTCACGTAGTTTGCGTGTTGTAAACGTAAAATGCGAACAAAGAACATTTCAATTAGGTACCTTTTGGATAAAACGTGGTCTGCTTAAACGTTACCTAAACAATTTATAAATCTGTATATATATAAACATATTTAATAATAATACAATAATAATATATGTACGTGTCTTTCGCGCATGTCCCGCCGTAACGGTAAAGATCGTGTCTGCCGCGGTTGTCGCGGTCTTTCTAAATAATAATATATAATATATCGTTTTTGTCGTTTGGTTTTAAATAAATATACGTGCAATGGTTGATTCGTAGGGGAACAATAAGCGTGGTGAGTGGAAAAAGGAGGTAGCAGAAGGGAAGAATATTTGAATTTTTAAAACCACGGGTAAAACGTCTTCCTCGTGTTTGATATTTTATGTAAATTTTGAATTTTATAGATAATGTGCGCGAATAATGTATTATATAAATATATAATGTACATGCACGGATCCGCGTGAGCGCTCGTAATTATTTACACCCGGGTCCTGGTTCCGCTTAGTCAGCATCACACACACACTTATTGGTACCTTTATAACTTACCAGGCCGTTGACCCGGTCGGCGGTAATATACAGCTGCAGAAGACTACCGTGCGCGATAAATGAGCGGCCTATCGGGTTTGCATCGACTTTGCGAAACACGAGCGCAAAATGGTCACTATTTGCGTCGAGGTTTTTTCTTTTAAAAATGCTACGCCTATAACAAGCACGGTTGTACATGGTAAACTCTATATACTTACTCCGCGTAATAAAGCGTATGTTCATGTTGCTTAATACATAGTCGTATATGACTTATATATATATATATTTTAACTTATAAATATAATATATTATCTGACATTATCTTGTGTCATATACGTTAGTTATTGTGTTAACTAAAGTTTAAATTATTTGATTTAAATTTTATATGAAGATGTCATCACTGCGTATAATAATAATAAT